CCCCGCCGCTGCCGGCTGGGCGCCCGGCCCTTTCGGCAGAGCGTGCTGTGCTTCCACCAGGCACGGGCACACCCCCCGGGCACTGCTGCCGGCTCCGCCGACCTCTTGCTTCGCTGCGCGCAGCGCCCGCGGGCCTTCCGCAACGGAGCCGGACTGCACACTCACGCGCGCGTCCACGGGGCCGAGGGCCTGGGCCACTCCACACACCTACGGCCCCGCGTCCCAGGCACTCACCGGTGTGGCGTGTGCGGCAAGAGCTTCGGAAAGAACTCCACGCTGACGCGACACCTGCAGACCCACTCGGGGGAGAAGCCCTTCAAGTGCCCGGAGTGCGGTAAGGGCTTCCTGGAGAGCGCCACGCTGGTGCGCCACCAGCGCACGCACACGGGCGAGAAGCCTTATGCCTGCGGGGACTGCGGCCGCCGCTTCAGCGAGAGCTCCACGCTACTGCGCCACCAGCGCAGCCACCAGGGCGCGCGGCCGCACGCGTGTGCCACGTGCGGCAAGGGCTTTGGGCAGCGGTCCGACCTGGTGGTGCACCAGCGCACGCACACTGGCGAGCGGCCCTTTCCGTGTCCCGACTGCGGTCGCCGCTTCAGCGACCGCTCGGACCTCACCAAGCACCGGCGCACGCACACGGGCGAGAGGCCCTACCGCTGCGAGCTGTGCGGCCAGAGGTTCACATGCGTGTCCAACCTCAACGTGCACAGGCGCAACCACGCCGGCCACAAGCCGCACAAGTGCCCCGAGTGCGGAAAGGCCTTCAGCGTGGCCTCCAAGCTGGCACTGCACCGCAAGACGCACCTGGGCGAGCGGCCGGCGGCGTGCACGGAGTGCGGCAAGTGCTTCAGCCACAGTCCCTTGCTGTCCCAGCACCAGCGAACCCACGCGCGCGCCCGCACTGCCACCCAGGCAGCTGTGGTCTTGGCCGGGCCAGCGGACAAAAGCCAGGGCTCTCTGTGCCCCAGCTGAGGCAGGCTTGCTGGGGGCTTCTCGGAAGGCGGGAGGGCAGTCAGAACTGTGCGAGGCTGGCTGTCCTGTTGGTAACCCTGTGCCCGCCTTCCACACCCTGTCCGCCCCTTTCCACCCTGTGCTTTATCTCAGACCTCCCCTAGCTTTGAGGTGCAGGCACAAGGAGACCGGGAACCCCAGAACCTAGGGGCTGGAGAGTGCCCAGGTGTGCCCCTGGGGATATGCTCTGGGCTCTTGGTTTCCCTGCCTCTCTGCCCAGGTTCCTGTTACAGGCATGGCTGGGCAGGGAGAGAGTGCACCTCTGTGAAGATCTCTGCGGACCGCTCCCTGTCAGAGATGACCCCAGCATGGCCACCCTCTGTCCCCTGGGCAGGTCCAGGTTCTGCAGTCAGGCCAGCATTCTCCAGCTAGGTGGGAGACATTTGCCTGGAAGCCAGGCCAAGACCAAAGGGCTTGACACAACCAGGCACGGCAAGTGGGGGCACTTTGTCCAAGTCAGGCTTAGAGCCACAGAAACAGGTGCCATGGAGGGCAGGGTGCAAACCCCTGGAACTAGCCAGTGCCCTCTGTCTGATGGCTGATGAAATAAAGAGTTATTTGGGCTCCAGATATTAGGAGCCCCTGTCAAGCCTGAGGCTGCCGTCTTCATGGACTCGGGGGGTGCTCCAAGAGCAGACACCAGTGTCTCGTTCCTTCCCAGACAGCGCAGCACCCTCAGGAGCCCTCGATTTCGCACTGAAGGCAACTCCTCAGGACCTCCCTGCTTGGCTTTCTCGGCCAGGCAGGTAGGCAGCACCCAGGGCTGTGCACCTCTGTCCCTGCTCCAGCACCCCCAGCCCCGTGGCCCAGTCTGCGCCTGCTCCAGCACCCCAGGCTGTCACGGACTAGTCTGCGTGACTGTGAGGGGCACGCCCCTACAGGGAAGGGCTACGAAGGGCCAAGGTGAGTCTGTAGAGGGAACTGAGACCCCAGAGCAGGGAAGGGGAGGCCTTCAGGGACAGGGACTGGGCCTGCCTACAGGCTGCACTCCGGCATTCCGGTGGAGCCTGCTTTGGGAAATCCAGGCTCACAGCTCTCACACCTCAGGTGCCAAAGCACTGGCTCTGCCCACACGTGGTGTGTGAAAGTTTATTCTGTCCTCAGGGAGGGAGGCGTCCAGCTTGTCTGGAACACAGTGGCGCCCCCCCCATCCCACCCCCCACATCCCCGTCACCCTTATCGCTGGGGACAGCCACCTGGCCCTTCTCCTTGGGCCGTCGCTGGGGACAGTCACCTGGCCCTTCTCCTCGGGCCGACCCATGGCTCCACTGTATCCCAGGGTCTGGCTCCCTGCAGCGGAGGCCAAGGTCAGACTTCACTGAGGGGGGAGCAGGGTTGGAGACTGAGGTGATGGAGGGGCCCCCAGGGACTCAGGGGCAGAGGGACTAGGACAGGGATCGGAGCCACCCGGTGACTCCTGAGAGGCTTGGGGCAGAGCTGGGTGGCTTCGGCTGCAGTGAGCGGCAACGCTGTCCGGCTTCTCAAAGCGCTTGCCACAGTGTTCACAGGGGAAGCGCAAGGCGGCCACCGTCTCTGCATGCTTGCGCCGGTGCCAGTTCAGGGAGGCCTTCTGGCGGCAGGTGAACCCGCATATCTCACACCTGGGACAGGGACAGGGACAGGGACAGGGACAGAGACAGGAGGGCAGGGGGGCCTTGGTCCACCTTGACTTTCCCAGGGCTTCCTTCCCTCTGCCTGGTGCCCTGCAGACCAAGCTGCCAGGCCCTACCTCCTCCTAGCCATGGGCCCTGACCCTCAGAGCCCCCCCGCCTCACTGCAGGGCCCTGACCCTCAGAGCCCCCCACACTCACTGTAGGGCCCTGACCCTCAGAGCCCACCACACTCACTGCAGGGCCCT